TTCTTGCTGTGTTGAAATTTTTATTTAAATATATAATGAGTCTATTTTGTCTGTTGTTGGTATAGTCATGTCTGCTGTCTTTTGGTTACTATTTACATGGAATATCCTCTGATATCCTTTGACTTTCAACCTATTTGTATCTTTGGATCTAAAGTTGGTCTCTTATAGAGAGCATATGGTTGGACTATGTATTTTTTTTTTAATATTTTTTATTTATTTCTAGGAGAGACAGAGAGAGACAGCATGAGCAGGGGAGGGTCAGAGAGAGAGGGAGTCACAGACTGAAACAGGCTCCAGGCTCTGAGCTGGCAGTCAGCACAGAGCCCAACGCGGGGCTCGAACCCACGAACCGCGAGATCACGACCTAAGCGAAAGTCGGACGCTTAACCGACTAAGCCACCCAGGCGCCCCTAGACTATGTATTTTTATTCTTTCTGCCAATCTCTGTCTTTTGACTGGAGTGTTTAATCAATTTACATTTAAAGTAATTAGCGATAAGAAGGGATTTACTTCTGTCATTTTGCTATTTGTTTTCCATGGGCTTTGTAGCTTTTTTTGTCCCTCTTTCCTCATTTACTATTTTCTTTTTCATTTAGCTGATTTTTTATAATGAAACATTAAGATTCCTTTCTCATTTCCTTTTATATATTTTATATAGCTGCTTTCTTGTTGGTTACCATGGGGATTACATTTAACACCCTAATGTTATAACTAATTCTAATGTGAATTTATGGAAGCTTAACTTCAAAAATATACAGAAATCTGCTTTGTATTTGCCAAATTCTACTATAAATCTAATTAATAAGCAATTAATTACAATTATCTTCCAAGACCTAACTCAAATATATCTTCTTCATTGAAAATCTTTCTGACTACTCCAGGATATGTTGGTCCTGCTTGCCATTAGCTCTCTTTAGTCCATAGAACATACCATATAATTTAGCATATAATGAATATCTTCTCCTATATTGTATCTTTATTCATTCTGTTAAAATTTATTGAGTGATTACCATGTTCAGACACTGTGCTGGATTCTAGGTATACATGTAAGTGACCTGCTCTAGAAGGAATGACAACCTAGTGAATAGGAAAGAGAAATGGGAGTGTGGTAATATCTTGATATAGTAAAAACACATACATTTTTCTGTGGTCATGGGAAGGAAAGTTTTAATCTTTTCTAGATTTGTGGGATAAGGGTATAGGAAAGAGAAAGAAATATCAGGACAATTTTCCCAGGTAATGTGATGGTATTCATGCTATCTCTTTACTACATTAGGGACATGGATATGGGGGTGTCATTCTTTCTGTGTTCCATACCACATCTAGTACAAAGAAGACAGCTCACTTAGTTATCCAAGAATCATTTATTAAGCTCTGACTCTCCTGTTCACTGTGCCAGGATCTGGGCACCCAGCTACAAATTTGACATAATCATTGCCTTTGAGATGCTATGTATATATAAAGAAACCCCCTGTCAGCTATCTAGGAGGCTTACATGTTCCAACTCAAAGACTTTACAATCTATTTTTCTTCTTAGCAGCAATGCACCTGTAAGAACTTTTGCAAGTGCCTTAGAAACCCTTGAGTAAGTCTCATATACAAGTGATAATCCCTTTCTCTCCTTCTGCAAATAAGAGAACAAGTTTGTGAAAAACCATATTTTAGAGGATAATATTAAATTTAAGTAATTTATTTTAAAAATAAAATAATTCATAAATCTTTGTACTTTGTTATTGGTAGTAACATACTTTGACATAACACACAGTGGTTCAAGTCAGAGTAATGACTTGGGTGAAAATCACAACAGACTAGGTCACCTGCTCAAAACTGATGCATAGCTTTCAAAAAATTAAAAAATTTAAGTCAGGGGGCGCTTGGGTGGCTTAGTCGGTTAAACGTCTGACTTTCGCTTAGGTCATGATCTCGTGCTTTATGGGTTCGAGCGCCGCGTCGGGCTCTGTGCTGACTGCCAGCTCAGAGCCTGGAGCCTATTTCAGAGACTGTATCTCCCTCTCTCTCTGACCCTCCCCTGCTCACGCTGTCTCTCTCTCTCTCTCTCCTAGAAATAAATAAAAATATTAAAAAAAAAATTTAAGTCAGTAAAAATTTAAAAGTAAAATTTCAAGTAAAAATTTAAGTCAATAATGCTCTGGTATTTGGAAGAAGTATTTCAAAGCCATAAATTGTAATTCAGTGATAGTAGTGGCAGAAATTGGAGAAAAGAAAGGATATGATGGCCTATCGTGCCATCGGATTCTCACAGTTTCTAAAGACAGAGTGAATGGCTTTTTGAACTTCTTCAAGATATGGATGGACTCTATACCCATGCATCTGTTTTTCTGAGAAGTATCTGCTTGGCCCTTTTTATCTTCCTTTAAGAGTAGAATCTTCTCGGGGCGCCTGGGTGGCTTAGTCGGTTAAGCGTCCGACTTTCGCTTAGGTTATGATCTCGCGGTTCGTGGGTTCGGGCCCCGCGTCGGGCTCTGTGCTGACTGCCAGCTCAGAGCCTGGAGCCTGTTTCAGTCTGTGACTCCCTCTCTGTCTGACCCTCCCCTGCTCACGCTGTCTCTCTCTCTCTCTCCTAGAAATAAATAAAAAACATTTAAAAAAAAAAAAAGAGTAGAATCTTCTCTATGTTTCTGTATATGTGTTGGTAGAAGCAGTGTCAGACAATGGAAAATTATATGACCTTCAAAGAAGGCCCAGGCAGGATAAATTGGAGAACTGATACTCAAAGATATCTCTTGTATTATGACCTTAGTTTTAAGAAAATATAGAAGGTAGAAACCAACTTATCTGGCAAATATACATTGGACTGGATCTTATTACTCTTTGCTTCCATGCCATCTGAAAAATAAGAATTAAACTTGAAAGTATGTTTTGAAAGTAACTAGATCCACAAATACACATACATAGAATGGTCCCTAATCCAACTTTGTAAAAAAATAGCACAGGGAAACCAGTAAGGGATGAGAAATGTTCAGAACAAAGGAAGGGAGAGTTCTAGACAGAAAGAAGTAGAATACACACACACACACACACACACACACACACACACACACACACACACACAAGTAAAGGCCAAACAGAGTATGAAAATTGTTTGGTATGATTGAAGCAAGAAGCATAATGACAACAAGAGCAGTGATAAAAACTAAACAGATGAGAAAAGGCAAGCATAAGACAAAATATACGTTCCACCCTATGGAGATTGGACCTTCTCTGGATGCATGGAAGAGAGGGAGATTTATTTGGAGAACCCTGAAGCAATTAAAGAAAAAAATGTTTGGTGGTATTGGCAATGGGAATAGGAAAAGCAAACATCAAAGAAATTTTAAGTTAATAGAATCAACATGATTTTCAAGAAGTAAAATAGATACTGTGGAGTGAGGAAGAAGGTGTATTCAAGGATGATTTTAAGATTTATGGAATAGGCAATTAGACAAAACATGCTGACATCCACTGAGCTTTGGAAAATGGGATGATAAACAAGTTGCAAGGAGTGGGTGAAAGGGGATGACAATGACAAATTTAGCATAGAACATGTTGAGTTGAGGTGCCTGGGACATCCACTTGACCACCTTCCAGTCTTTCTTTTTTCCAATTCTCCTTTATCATTGGATGATCTCATCACCATACGTGAATTAAGTTACCATGGGATACTGATAGCTTCTAGATCCTATCCCAACCTGGGTTGCTCTCTTGAATTTCAGATACATTTCTATTCCCTATTTTACTTTATAGACTTAAACTCTAAACTTCAGTTTCCTCATCTATGAACAGGAATACTAAAATCTCCTTATAGTATTATTTTGAACATGCAAAGTGCCTGGCACCAAAGTAAGTGCTTAATAAATATTGGTTTATCAAGAATTGTCCTAATCAGTCTGTAGAAGTCTTCTCTTTTTGAGGTCTTCAGTCCTCCAGTGAGCCCAAATTAAGAGTCTGACTCTGTTCTTTCAAAGAAAGTAAATTCTTATGATCAGGAACTTACTTTACCTCTCTGGCCTCTTCATATCTTAGTGTTGTGCATAAAATAAGTACTCAGAAAATAATGGAGTTGTTCTTAAAGGAAACATCACATATATCAATTGTAGCACACTAAAAGACTTTGGCTGGCTATAAAATATTAAGTGTGTAGTTTGGAAATTTTAATCTATGTATGTGGAACTCCAATAATTTCTAGAGCAGCTGCAAAATTTCTACAAAAGGCAGAAGAAACTTCTCACCCTCCTTCCCTCCCTCCCTTTCTCTGTCTCCCCAACACATACACACACACACACACACACACACACACACACACACACACACACTACACTCCTCTATCTGGAAAACCTCATTATCATTTTTGTCTATTCTTGGGGGGGAGGAATTCCATGGAGATTTTATTTGAATAAAAAGTTCCAGAACATATTCAGTATTTTATTTAATAAAAAAGTTCCACTAGTAGGAAAAAGAAAATTTTGGAAACCATCATAAGAACATTTGCATCATTACACATTACAAGGGCTGTCATCTCTTTTATGGAATGAACATTATGGGATTATTTGCACTTAACTCTTGAGATATTCCAGAGATAGCTTGGTTTACCACTAAGTTTTCAGATTAAAAATTATATTCTAGAAATATTGTCTGCAACATGTATTGCTGGTCCTTCTCTCAGTGCTCCAGGATAGGTAGGTATGACATGGCAGGACTTGGCCCAGCTGGCTGTGGGCCACTTGACTACAGACTACCTGAAGTCTTTCTGAGATAGTTCCTTGACTGTACACCTGCTACAGAAAGGCTGAATACTCAGGAACAGCAAGTTTGTCATCTACCTGAGAAAATGGAGAATTCATGTATGTTTTTAACCTTGGATTATTATGAGAATTCATATTACTTATACCAGAAGTAAAGCAAAAATACAATTTTCTCTTTCCTTCATTGAATTATGAGTAAAAAACCATCCCGCACAATGAATAAATCATTACATCATCTTCTAAATCTAAGAAGTTTTATTTAACGAACACATCCACATTGAATAAAATCAGTTTGGGGGGAAATTAGTTGCTTGCAAATTAGAGGAAAATAACAATATATGTGTGGACAATATATCCAACAGAATGTCACAGAGTTCGATGCAAACCAGCTCAATGTTCCTTGGTTTATGCTCTCTCGTAAATTCTGGTAGAGGTGACACCTTTCATGATACATTCCTAGACACAAAAAACATTCTTGGTCAATCACGGGACTAAACTATGAGCTTATTTATTTTTCCTTTAATGTTGGAAAGGACACAGTATTCATTTGAAAATATTTGTTCTGGGCTCCTATATATACCTGATAATGTAATAAGTTAGGGAGATATAAAGACCGAGAAAACACAAGTCTTCCTTTCAAGGAACTTTACAGTCTATATAGGGAGTGATAAATATAACCAGAAATGCATAGTACAATATGTGGGTGCTGAGAGCAGTCAGAGAATGCTTTTTGGGGGACAGTATGCCACGACTGAACTTAAAAGCTGAAGAAAAGTTGCCAGAATGAAACCATAATCCCAATGGAATCACCTTTTTTGTTCTATGTAAGCCAGCATGAGTAGGTAGAATAGTGAGTATAAGATGACCAAGTGTAGAGCTTAGAATTAAGCAACCGGAGGATACTCACCACCACCAGTTTATCATCCACGCGTTTCCTCTTTATGGTGGTTGATTTTCCATCCCACTTTTGCACCTGTACCAGGGCACCTCCCTCTAAGGTTATGATGCTCTGTGAGCATAATAAAAAATGATTACCATTCATATAAGGCAGAGGAAAATAAAATAAAGAATACATCATCTTTCAATGAAGGAATATTTTGAGGTCATTAGTAATTCTAAATTGTAAGAATATATTAAAACAAAAAATGAGTGGGGCGCCTGGGTGGCTTAGTCGGTTAAGCGACCCACTTTTGCTTAGGTCATGATCTCGGGGTTCGTGGGTTCGGGCCCCACGTCGGGCTCTGTGCTGACTGCCAGCTCGGAGCCTGGAGCCTGTTTCAGACTGTGACTCCCTCTCTCTCTGACCCTCCCCTGCTCACGCTCTCTCTCTCCTAGAAATAAAAAATAAAAAATAAAAAATAAATAAAACAAAAAATGAGTGTTAAAAACAACAGCATAGAGTGAAATAAGTCAGGCAGAGAAAGACAGATTCCATATGTTTTCACTCATATGTGGAAGAGGAGGAACATAACAGAGGACCATAAGAGAGGAGAAGGGGAGAAAAAATTGTTAAGGAGAGGGAAGGAGGCAAACCATAAGAGACTCTTAAATACTGAGAACAAACTGAGGGTTGATGGGGAATAGGAGAGAGAGGAAAATGGGTGATGGGCATGGAGGAGGGCACCTGTTGGGACGAGCACTGGGTGTTATATGGAAACCAACTGGACAATAAATTATATTTTAAAAAATAAATCAAAATTAAAACAATAGCATACAAATATTACATTATGGTCAGAATATTATACAAACACATATTTGAAATAATACTTTGAATAAATACAGGTAATAAATTTATGTTGAGATGGTAGTTATAGGTGATCTTTTCCTTTTTTTCTTCCATCCTTTCATAAACATTCTCTGACACATTATTTTATTTCACTTCAAATATTCTATATATTATATGGCAAATAAATTATGTCAATCACTTTTTAAAGAATAAGTACAACTTTATAGAAGGAAAAGATTGACCAACTATATATCAAAGACATACAACTACATACCCAAAGACAACATGGCTTAGGTCTAAGATGTCAGGGATCCTAGACCTGTGACAAAATAGTTTCCCTCCTTTTACACAAAAAGACTTCTTCTTGGCAGCAGTCTTTTATTTATTTTTTTAAATTTATTTTTGAGAGAGAGCAAGAGTGGGGGGGGGGCAGAGAGAAAGGGAGACACAGAATCTGAAGCAGGCTCCAGGCTCTGAGCTGTCAGCACAAAGCCCTGTGTGGGTCTCGAACTCACGAACCATGAGATCATGACTTGAGCTGAAGCTGGATGCTTAACCAATTGAGCCACCCAGGAGCCCTGGCAGCAGTTTTTTAGAAACCAGGCTTTTTATTCTGCTCCGATTCCTTCTTTCTCACCTTGACTTTTCTGTCATCTGCAGTAACTTCATCAAATTCTTCTCCCAGTCTGAAGGAAATCTCAGTATTTTTAAAGGTGCTCTCTGATTTAATGGTGATCACATCCCCATTCACACTGATGATCATGTTGGGTTTGGCCATGCCAGCCACTTTCCTGGTGGCAAAGCCCACTCCTACAGGTTGGAAAAGACCAAAAAAAAATGTCAAATTTACAATTTTCTTTCACATCTTTAACTAAGTTAGAGCTGTACTGTGTGTATGTGTGTGTGTGCGTGTGTGTGTGTGTGTGTGTGTGTGTGTATGGGTGTGTGGGGGTAGATGTTCATAAAAGAAAAAAAAACTAGTGAGTTTCTTAAAAGCCTCATTTAAATAGCTTGCTGCAGATAAGTAAAGCAGACTAATACTTAAAGGAAGACATGTCATGACTAAGTGTAGGTCTATTTAAATTTCTTCTTCTGGGTTTCAGATACAACTCTACAGGAGACATACTGTTAATTTTCAAAAAGATTAAGTCTTCTGAAATATGTATTGGAAAGTCAAAGTGAGAAAGAAGGAATTGGAGCAGAATGAAAAGACTAGACTAGAGGGTCTAGTGAATTTTGAAAACTTCAAAATTTAAGAAACCACTATTTTAATAAGTTTAGAAATCAATACTTTGATTCTCAATCACCTCACATACAAACCCCTCTTTTAAAAAAGGAACTTCTTGGGGTGCCAGGGTAGCTCAGTGGGTTAAGCATCCAGCTTCAACTCAGGTCATTATCTCGCTGTCCATGAGTTCAAGCCCGTGTCGGGCTCTGTGCTGACAGCTCAGAGCCTGGAACCTGCTTCTGATTCTGGGTCTCCCTCTCTCTCTGCCTCTCCCCACTCATGCTCTCTTTTTCTCTCTCAAAAATGAATAAATGTTAAAAACAAATTTTTTAATAAAAAATAAAAAAGGAACTTCTTTTCTTGTGTAAGGTAAGGGATGAACAATTTACAACTTAATGTAGACAGCGGGAACTTGCTATCACTGCATATGTTGTACAGAATTTATGACAGTCATAGGTGTGTTGAATTTTTTAACAAATGTACATAAACCTATGCTTCTTCTTTGACTAAAGGCTACTTGTACATGCCAAAGGTTAGAAATAGGGGGTAGGAGGGAGAGAAATATTGTATAAAACAAGTGACACTGAGGCTCTTAAGTAGTGCCCTGTCTGAAAAGTGGCCACAGGTGGAAAGATATTGCTTCATTAAGTCCTGGCCCTGTGACAAAATATACCTTTAAATACATGGAGTGAGTCAGTATAATGAAAGGATGCAACATCAAGTATAATTCCAGAACAGCTGACCTTGGGAAAAATCACATTCTTCACTTGCTTTATTCAGTCCCTCTTTGACTGATGAAAGTAATACCTGCTTGCTGATCATCAGAGCAATTAATGTCAAGAGTTACTTTATTGTCTTTCATTATCATCAGTACTTTATAATTCTAAAACACAGTGGTATAAGAATTTAAACATAAGTATAAAAAGTGCAAAATGTTCCTAAAAATCAATATCAAAATAGCCTCAAATCCTGACATTTCTGTATCAGCACATACTAATTAGTTTATTGAATCACAACCAGTTGACATTCTAGAAAGTTAGATTTCACTTATACTAAAGTCCCTAATTTTCCTCCTATCTATAAACAAGGAAAATAGTAGTAGTTAGAGACAAGCAAAAAACATACCACATGATTTAGGGGAAAGGTAAAGTTTTAAGGTACAGAGATTAAATCCTAACCCTTGTAAAAACCCTCCTCAAATTGCTATAGCTGGATACGACTTTATCATGCACAGGGGTGTGAAGACAGGGGCTTTCAAGGTAGAAGCTGTCTGAGTAAGAGCCTCCATACTGCACTGCTTCACCACCGTAATCATCTAGGGAATATTCACACAACACACTGGCAACATTAGTAGAATCTCCAAGCCTGAAAGCCTCCATTATCAAGGAGGGGGTAGGTTATAGATACAACATTGTCCTTTTGACTTACTTGACGATCCTATGGTGTCCCATGTAATTCCTAATCAACGAAATATTTAACCCCTTAAAGGAACATATTTCCTGAAATTAAGATTTTGGTTCTCATAAAAACAAAGACACATTTAAACAAATTGACAGTGAGAAAATAAAATAATTAGTTAACATATGTTTGCTTAAAAATTACATTAAATAGAGTACTATAGTGCTTTCAGTTTCAAATAGAAATTATTGAATACTAGGAAATAAATATAGTCTTATTTATTTTATATGCAAGAGAAAATGACAGAAAAACAGGCAAGGAGCCAAGTAAAGCAAAGATAACCCAGTTTAGCAGTCAACTAAAATCTTGTTATTTCTATAGACTAAAAATTCCAGTTAGACCCTTTGTCATATTGGTTCACCTTTAAGAAGCATTCGCTGTGACTTTGATCTAGAAGATTTCTACAAACAAATGGTTTTCACTTGCTTAGCCTCTATATAGAAAGAAGCATTCCCTATCTGATCAAAATTCTCAGGGTGAAAACCAGCCAGAAACCCCTCCTTCCCAGAGAAAAAGTTATAAATCCCATCATCCCACAACGTATTTTCTTACCCACTTCTTTCATGTAATCATCAAAGTTTTCACTGGAGCTAAGTTTCCAGGTACCCACAAATGCATCACACATTTTTATGAGCTTTCTAAAGTTATCTTCAAGATGAGGAAAAAAGCTGCAGCTGTCAGGAAGGTGCTATGTTCTCCTTGAGTCCAGATAAATTCCTTTTAAAGATGCCCAGATCATGTGATCTGAGGAATAACCAATTGGGGATTGATACCAGATCATTTCCTTTATTACCAGCCTCTGCCTTTTTCCCCTTTGAGTCATGTTTCACATAAAAGTTTCTCAACTCTGGTTCTCCCTGGCAAATGGTCATTTGACTTAGAGTATAAGTTATTTTTAAGCAGTGACAAAATAATTTCAACTTTCCTGTTTTGACAGTTTAATGTTCAGTGCATTGAATTTGCCACTATTATTTCCATACATACTTATCCCGGGGTAGAGCAGGTTAATTATCTTGAGATGAACTTTGACCGCTGTTCTGGAGTTTCTATTAAAATTACAACTATGTGGTTCTTTTGAATTGAGGAACATAAGAATGACCTTACAGATGCTTCGTTAATTGCAAAGGCTCTTTGAGATAGTACTGTCTTGGGAATTACTTGTCAATTAAAATAAAGTAAGTAGTAGCATCTTGAATTACCTCAGATTTCTTGTTTCAAATGTTTTGCATGAATGAAAAATAAATTATCCATCAAGAATCTGTTGGTTTAATTAATAATGATTTAACCTCACTCTTTCCATCCCCTAAATGATAGCAAAGTGTTTATTTCCATAGTATTGGGGCCTTAAAAAATAGGCCTTATTCCAAAATATGCAACCCATACTGAGAAAATTCATCCAGTTCTTGAACTATGTTATTACAAGCTCTAAATTTATCCAGATCTATATGGTGTTGCTTTGCTTGAAAATGATCAAGTGGTGTTGATGTCACACTATCAAAATTTTATTTCCTTCTTTTATATAGTAAGTAATTCATGACATTACTTTTCTAAAGTAACTTTATCTTTCAATCTCTTATCCAATACCAGAATGGGGAAAGATATTTATATGTACAACAAACACCCATGAACATACCTAGATTTTAGAAAAGAAAAAAATAAAAATATTGCATCATGATGAATGTCTACTCCATGTGCCCTACTGAGTAGTATCCGCAGAGCATTTCATTGGTTCACAACCCATGTAAGATCCTGAGGGCTTCCCAGAAATGCCTGAGGCAGAGGATTCTATGAAGGAGAGGATTTTCTGTAGGCAAGCAGGTTGCTATAAAGGCCTGATAAAGCCATGTTACAATAGTAATTTTTAATTGCTGTGTGTGTTAATGGCACAGTAATAGTGTTCATCCACTCTGGACTATTGCATAGATACAGGGACTGTGGGTGATGTACCATTTCAGGTAGACTTCCTATTATAAACTCATCCATTTCCCACTGAATAAGTAAATAAAAACAATCAATCTTAAAGCAGTGATAACTTGACAATGTTCTAAATTAAGAGTGGTTTGCTTTTTTTGGTTTGGTTTTGGTTTGTCTTCTTAAAGATTTTCTTAGGTATACAACAAAATTGAGAGAAAGGTACAGAGATTTCTCATGTACCCACTGCCCCCATACATTCATAGCCTCCCCTATGATCAACATCACTCACATTTTTACCAAGGATGTACCTACACTGACACGTTACAATCACCCAAAGTCACCAAAAGTTCACCTTAGGATGCACTTTGATGTTGTACATTCTGTGTGTTTGGACAAAGTATTATGACACGTATCCATCATTATAATATACAGAGTATTTTCACAACACAAAAAAGTCTCTGTGCCCTGCCTATTCATCTCTTTCCCACATCCCTAAGTCCCCAAGCTGTGAAATCACTGTTATTTTTACTGTCTCCATCGTTCTGCCTTTTCCAGTATGTGACCTTTGCAGATTGGTTTCTTCTATTTGGTAATACGCATTTAACTTTCCTCCATGTCTTTTCATGGCTTAATAGCTTATTTCTTGTTAATGCTTAAAAATATTCCATTGCCTGGGAATACTGTAGTTTATTTATTGACTCACCTACTGAAGGACATCTTGGTTGGTTCCAAGATTTGTCAACTATGACTATAGCTGCTATACACATCCACATGCAGGTTCTTGTATAGACATGTGCTTTTGACTCCTTTAGGTAAATACAAAGGAGCATGGTATAGTAAGAGTATGTTTTGTTTTATAAGGAGCTACCAAACTTTCTTTTTTTTTTTATTTTACAAATAGTTTATTGTCAAATTAGTTTCTACATAACACTCAGTGCTCATCCCCAAAGTGCCCTCCTCCATGCCCATCCCCCCACCCCCCCACATCCATCAGTCCTCAGTTTTTGTCAGCATTCAAGAGTCTCTCATGGTTTGCCTCTCTCCCTTTCCCCCACCATTTCCGCCCTTCTTCTCCCCCTTGTTCCTCCGTCAAGTTCCTCCTAATCCTCCTATACGTGCAAACATATGATATTTGTCCTTCTCTGCCTGACTTATTTCGCTCAGCATAACACCCTCAAGGTCCATCCATGTTGCTACACATGGCCAGATTTCATTGTTTCTCATTGCCATGTAGTATTCCATGGTATAGATAAACCACATCTTCTTGATCCATTCATAAGGAGCTACCAAACTTTCAAAGTGGCTATACCATTTTGCATTCTCACTAGCAATGAATGAGAATTCTGTTGCTCCATATGCTCACTAGTATTTGGTGTTGTCCGTGGGTCTAGATTTTAGCCACTCTAATGCTTGTGGACTAGCATCTCATTGCTGTTTTAGTTTACATTTTCCTGATGATGTATGATGTGCAGCATCTTTTCACATGCTTAGTTGCCATCTGCATGTCTTATTTGGTGAGTTATCTGTTAAGGTGTTTGGCTCATTTTTTAATTGGGTTGTTTGCTCTCTTACTGTTGAGTTTTAAGAGTTCTTTGTATATTTTGGATAATAGTCCTTCATCAGACATATCTTTTGCAAATATTTTCTCCAGTCTTTGGATAATGGTTTACTTTACTTTTTAAACTTTTTTTAATGTTTATTTAGCTTTGAGAGAGAGAGGGATAGAGCACGAGTGGGAGAGGGGCAGAGAGAGAAAGAGACACAGAATCCGAAGCAGGCTCCACACTCTGAGCTATCAGCACAGAGCCAGACATGGAGCTTGAATCCATCTACTGCGAGATCATGACCTGAGCTGAAGTTGGACACTTAACTGACTGAGGCATGCACCCAGGCCCCCCTAAATTTTTTAATGTTTATTTATTGTTTGAGAGAGTGAAAGAGAGAGAGTATGAACAGGAGAGGGGCAGAGAGAAACGGGGACAGAGGATCCAAAACGGGTTCTGATAGCACAGAGCCCAATGTGGGGCTAAAATTCACCAACCGTGAGATCATGACCTGCCAAAGTCAACCGCTTAACTGACTGAACAACCCAGGAGCTCCTTAGTTTACTTTTCAAAATATGTGTTAATGCTTTACTTTTAGTAGCAAATTGCTTTAGACAGATTTTCAAATGATTATCACATTTGAATATATATATCTTGTATATTTTAACACTGCAATTTAAACACTTTTTTAGAGATGGACTGCCCAATACTGTAGTCTTTAGTCACACATAGTTCCTGAACACTTGAAATGTGTCCATAAAGATTCAGAAACTGAATTTTTTATTTTGCTTAACTTTAATTAAAATTTTAAAAATGATCCTCATACAGTCATTAGGAAACTTTTAAATATGTGTGGAATACATCAGGTAGTGCTGTGTTTCAGAGAAAACAGAACAAGTTAATCTGACTATAACGACCACTGTGTGGTTTGGCAACAGCAGGTGGGGCAAGTCAGGGAGGTCAGTCAAAGGAAACGGACAATCAAGCTGATGTCTAAAGGTTGAGAAGAAAGCTGTCATGGAAAGATGAGACAAAAGATGTTCCAGACACAGGAAACAGCAGGAGTTTGCTGACTCCATTCTTGCTAATGACAATTTCGCCTAAACATGACCACCAACATGAAACCATGACAAACATATAGATATATATTCCTATAAACCATGACTTAAGTATAGATATATGGTCCTGGTGAGCAGCGGCTAAGCTCCGTTAAGGCAGAAACTTTTATCATGATTATTTCCTGATGCATATCAAATAATCGAGCATTCAACAAAATGCATGAAGGAAATCCCATTTAAGTAAGTTGAGAGTAGAGCAACACTCATATAAAATTACCTCAGGATTATTTCTATGGGACAGTGGCCTCATGTTCCTATGTTAACATGTTTAGATCTGATCATTACTGGAGAAATGGCATAGTTGAAATTTTCTAGAAACAAAAATTTCTTACTGACTTCATATAAACAAAAATAGTAGTCTATAGTAAAGGAACTTAGTAACTTAAATAGCAATGAAAAAGCTAACATATAAGAAGACTGTTGGGTCTGTATGAAAAAATTTCATGCTACCATTGCATAGAGTAACAAAATAAGTTTGCCAGAGTTAGTTGAAGGGATGTTGTCTTTAAAAGCAGCTCAATTCAAAATAGATAGATAGATAGATAGATAGATAGATAAGCGAATAAATAAATGCATATGTGCAGCTCAGTCTATGTTCCAACCACATGGGTCATTCTGTGGAATACTAATATTCTATAAACAAGTCCACTAAGTTATGTATCATATAAGACAGAGATTTCCTTCAAACAGGAAGCTGTCCAGAAATTATTTCTAAAATTTTTGTTTTAATTCCAGTGTAGTTAACATACACTGTTCTATTAGTTTCAGGTGTACAACATAGTGATTCAACAATTCTATACATTACTCTGTGCTCACCATGAGAAGTATAATCTATAACCCCCATCACCTATTTCACCCATCTCTGTCCACCCACCTCCCCTCTAGTAACCATCAACTTGTTCTCTATAAGAGTCAGTGTCTTGGTTTGTCTCTCTCTCTCTCTTCCCCCCCTCCCCCACCTTGTTCATTTGTTCAGTTTTGCAAACTCCACAAAAGAGTGAAGTCATATGATATTTGTCTTTGACTGACTGACTTCTCTTAGCATTATACTTTAGCTCCAACCACATTGTTGCAAATGGCAAGATTTCATTCTTTTTTAT